GATTTATAGCTCAGCAATTCCCACCGCCCACAGTGGACCCCCACAGTGGCCACGTACCCCAGCCCTGCCAGCCGTGCTTGGTGTGCCCTGTCACCTTCGCCTGCTGTACCTGCACAGCCTTGGGTGCTTGGAGGGGTCTCTGGGTCTTCCCAGGTGCTGGGGTGGGAGCCCCAGACAGCACATACTGGGTGCTGTGCTACCTGGCATGGGGACACTACGTAGTATGGGGATGCTGCTTGACATGGAAGGGGTGGCTTAGCTGGTGTGGGACTTGATGTCCTGTGCTGTGTGCACAAAGAGCTGGCTCCAGGCATGGCCCCAATGCCTGGTGGGCCTGAGGTTGAGCTCTCCTGTATGGGGGAGCCAGGGTGCTGGGCACCAAGACATGCAACAGTCCATGCACAGGTTGTGGAATGCATGCTCATTACATTGACACCCATGCATGCCAACACGCAGCAGCACTCACACACACATTCAAACATACCCTGCTGCCCAGGCCCCGTGACAGGCACATGTACACTGGCACACGCACACACACATCCAGGTGTTGCAGCAGAGCCTTCCTGGGCACACACCAAGGCTGAATGTCTCCATGAACCCCACCAGAGAAACAACCCAGCTTGGGCACCACAACCACCCAGGCACCACCAACACCAGCGGGGTGCAAGGTCACCTGGACCCAGGCTGCTTCAGGGATGGGAACTGGGGTGCTGGCTGGAGGGTGGAGGCACAGGGCTGGATGCCACCACAGCGGCTTCCCCAAGCCTGCACTTAGCGGACCCGGAGACATGCTTGGCACCTCAGTGAGAGTATGATGGATGCACATGGGTGGAGGAGAGGGGGCTGGCATTATTAACAGTCCTGGGTATTGCTCCAACAGGGCTGTAAAAATTAAAGGCGTGTGGATATAAAATAAGGGATAAATCTGAGCCGGCCGCAGAGCGCTGCAGCGTCCCGAGGGAGTTGGCATCTCCAGATGCCGGGCTATGGCAAGTGTGGGACAGGCAAGAGTGTGTAGATACAGGGGTCAGGCAGTGCTTGCACTCAGTGCCATGTGCTGTCACTCCGAAAATATTTCTGCCAAGTGCCTTGAGGGCATGCACAGGCAGTGCCAACCTGTGGAGCTGATGTTACAAGGCAAGAGGCTGTTCCTGAAGCTAGGATGGAAGGAAAAGAGGTTGTGCCTTCGCAGGCAGGGCTGGGGGCACAGGGGCACTTGCTCTGCGATGCCCACAAGTGCTGGCCAGCCCATGCACCCCCAGATCCCTCACCCTGGGCCAATACACCCTGACGTGACCAGGCTGATGTGAACTCGGCGTCCTGCCCATCCTGCAGCCCATGGCTCCGATCCTGAGCAGGACTCGGGGCAGCACCCACCTCGCCAGCCCTGCTCCGCCCAGGCCACCCTGCCGGCATCCTCATTTTCCCCGAGATTAGCCGCGGCGCGGGAGCCTCCGCGCACCGCCAGCAGGTGACAAATAAGATTTTTCCACTCTCCCGAGCACCCGGCATGAGTCTGTCATTGAAAATGCAAAGCAGCACAGAGCCAACCTCCGTCACCCGCCCTCTTCTCCACCAACCCCTCAGTGCCGATCTGCCCAAAATCCCCCTGGCATTGCTGCTGGAACTCCCCACTGCCCCTCAGCAGTGCTGGGCACAGAGTCCTCATGCCCAGTGGGGCAGTTTTCCAGGGGGGTTTCTTAGAGGGGTGCTAGTTTGGGGGTGTCAAACTGGATGGACAGCATGGCCTCACAATATCCTTCGGGTGCACCCATGTGCCTTGGCACTGTGGGTGGGAGAGGGGGAAAAGGGGGGTGCATGTAGGTCCCCACCATGCTGATTTTATGTGTATCCTGCCACGGCTTGCCTGTATGCCCCCAGGGGTGCCAGGCTCTGGGGTGGGCACAAGGTGAGCTTGTCCTGGTGGGAAGGCTTTGTCCCTTGTAGGAAACACTTGGCCCAAGGTATATCTTCTGGGGTCAACATCACACCAGAAACCTCACCCCAGGAGACCCTATCCCCAGTACTCACGGCAGGGGGGGAAGGACAGAAGTACTACACCCCAAAGCTGATCACATCCATCCAGCCCCCACAACTCCCACGCATGGACCTAAGCCTTCCCAACCCCTCACTCCCGCCAAACCCCTCAGCCCCCCACAACCCTGTTACCCGCTGCATCCCCAGCCCAAGCCAGGTGCCTCCCCAGCAGCCCCCCAGTCCGGCTCCCCACCCCCACCGCCGCGTCTCCCCTCCGCTATTGTCAGAGGGTTGCCTCTGCCTCTGTCTGTGAAATTAATTCGGAGGTGGAGAGGGAGAATTATGTAAAGTGTGGTTATTCTGGAGCGGCGGGGGAAGTGCGGCTGATGGCAAAGTGCCTTTTTGTGTGTTTAATATGCATTTTTTTTCCAGCGGTGCATTTTCAGGCGGGTAATTTGCTGTCTTTTCAGACCCCGATCAGTATCATTTCTCCGGCAATGACAGCTTTTATTTGCACTGAAATGAATGCTGCGAAATTTCCAAGAAATAGCCAAGGCCCCATTGGCTGCCCACCCCCGTGGGCTGGGGCACAGGCACTCGCCACTGCCTGCCCCCCGCAGACCCCTGGCTAGCCCCTGCCCACGGCCCTGCTGGTCAGCATTCCCCAGGACTGCTGGGCACGTGCATGTGCCACTTCACACATCCTATGTGCACAGGTGTGTGTGTGCTCTCCTGCCTCACCCCCTCCCTACCTTCAGCCCTGTGTGCACACCACATATAGGGAGATACATATATATATATATATATCCCAATCCCTGTGCACATATAAACACCCTTTGTGCATATGCACACCCCTCCCCCTTGTGCATGTATACACCCTCCCAGCACAGCCCCCCCCCCCCCTTTCTGCGCACACACACACACACACACACATTCTTAGTCCATGCATATTCTCCCCTTAGCACACACACACTTTCCCCACACCTGTGCATATGTGACCCTCTGTACACTTGGGAATTGGGGGGGGAGGTCTCCCCACTTTATGTCCCCCAGGGTTCAGTGCAGCACCCCTGAATCAAGGCACTCACACCTCAGGAGGGTGTGCCCCCCCACATACCACTGTTCCCCTTCCTCAGCACAGCACAGCCCTTCGGGAAACTGAGGCACAGAAGGGGTAGGCATGAATGGGGGATAATCGCCTCTCCAGACACCGGTGCGTGGGAGCTTTGAGAAGATGCAGGGGTTGTGTCTGTGTGTGTCTCTGTGTCAGGAGGGAGGAATAAATGCTGTGTAGGTGTGTGCCAGGTGGGCGTTGTGTGCCAGAGCTGCTGTGCAATGCTGCCTTTGCACATGTGCACATCTGGGTGTGTGCTGTGTCAGTCCCCTGCCCCAGTGTGTGACAGCGTGTCTGCAAGGGTGGTGTGGGCATCTTCAAATGGGACAGCATCACCATGTGTGTGACACTGTGTGTGCCCCCCATGTGTGCCCATGAGTGTGCAGTGCTGCACCCCTCTACAGCTTCGTGGGGGGCTGTGCACCCCCAGCTGTGAGAAGGTCCCTGGCAGTGGTGGAGCCAGTGCCTGGCACGGCCAAGGTTAACTCTGCCAGAGCCCAGCGGCGCGGTGTGGGGAAGCTTTAATTTAATGAAGTGTGAGGCTTTTTATGGGCTTTTAATTACGTGGTGATAATTAACATTATAGGCCGCCGGGTCCCGCTGGTGCCCGGCTGCCCTGTGCCAGCTTCCGCCTGTTTGTAAATAAACCGCGCGGGCTGCGCAGTGCCCACCCCAGGGCACCCACCTGCTGCAGCGGGGAGCAAGGCCAGCCCCAGCCCCCTGCCCACATACTGGGGTGGGGAGTTGGGCACAAGTTCAGGCAAAATGTAGAGAGCAAAGGGGTCCCCCCATTTTCATCCCCCAGCTGCCTGGGTTTTTCCAGCCCTCTGGCTGAGCAGAGCTGCCAGCTGGCAGTGCCAAACTTGGTCAGAGTGGGTGCAGACAGCAGTGCCACCCTTGTGCCCCCCTGCCATGGCCCAGCATAGCCTGGAGCAGCCCCCCCTACTGGGGGGAGGGAAGGGGCTAATAGGAAGCAATACATCAGGCAGCACCTGGGCACATTGCCCACCTGCCAGGCACCCAATGGATTTATCACCCAGCACCCAGGCCATTTCCTGCCCTCCTCTAATCAGTAAATGGGGGCAGGGGACAGTGCCAGCTCCCCAATGCATGTCAAGATGTTTGCAGGGAGGTGGTGATGACCCATGAGAGAGGTCCCAGAGCAAGGCCAGGGGACCCAGGTATCCAGGTAGGTCCTCCCCCACCCCACTCCATAACATTTTCTCACTCCCTGGAAGAACCAAGGGCTTGGAGCCCTTGTGTGGGGGCATAGAAATTAAAGCATCTGGGTGCCCCCCAACCAGCAGCAATTAGGGTGCTGAGGAACCAGCAGGTATTATGGCCAGCACCCAGCTGCTTCCCCTCCCCACATCCAGCCTCATTCAGGGAACCCAGGCATCTGGGCTCCCCTCCCCCACCCCTTCCCGTTTAATTTTTCCTAATGAAAGGCAGGGAGGATGGCAGGGAGCTGGGGCACCAAGGTCGAGGCTGCCTTTAATCAATCCCCACTGCTGGCTGGGTGCCCGGAGGAGCCTGCGGAGGAGAGGCTGGGGGCTGCAGGAGGGGGAAAGCACGGGAAAGGGGGGATGCAGGGTGCGACCAAGGGGCTCCCAGCAGCCAAATGAGGATCCCAGTGCTTGGACTCCCCCTGGGACCCCACCATCCCTCATCGCCACTTCAAAGAAAAGGCACCGTGAATGCACCATGTTGCCCGGCTGGTGCCAGAGCTGTGCACGAATCCTGCCAGGGCAGCTCCAATCCTCTGCAGGAAACACCCTCCCCCCAAAAAACAGCCCATCCCCTTGGGCACCCAGCCCCCAATCCCTCCATACCCACCAAGGTGGGGACACAGGGGCTGGGGCCATACCCAGGCTCAGGCTGCTAAAGGCACTGGGCAAAGGAGGGTGACCTACAGCTGGGTGCTGGTGACAGCACTCACCCCATGCACCAGCACGGTGGGGCCCAGCCCACGGGTGAGCAGCTCCAGCTGGTGCAGGTAGAGCGGGTAGAGGCTGGTGTCAGCCGGCGGCCGCGGCAGGTAGAGGAAGCGCACGGCTGGAGCGGGGCTCTGCTCCAGGACGAGTTTGTTGGCGGCACAGACGTACTCATCCGACACTTGGGTGGCGTTGGCTGGGAAGTTCACGGTCCCTTCCTCCTCTTCCTCCTCTGCTGGGCCCCCTGGGGGTCCCTGGCGGGTTTGCCAGTGCAGGTGGGTGACAGCATCCCAGGGCACCAGCTGGATCTGGGCCTGGATGCGCAAGTCCTTGAGGAGCTGGCGCAGCTTCTCCTCCTGGGCGTGGGGCATGGCGCCCGCCTCCACGCAGAGGAAGAGGCGCAGGCGTGCCCGGCGCCAGGCCCGCGCCATGTTGAGGACACAGGCCATCTGCAGCAGGAAGAAGCTGCAGGGGTCAGCGTAGCGGGCGCTGTCTGGCCGCAGCAGGTTGACAGGCCAGACGTGGATGGAGGGTGGGGGGCTGGCAGCCCTCCGCAGCTCCCAGACCTTGTCCAGGCTCTCCAGCTGCCGGGCAAGCAGGACATTACGAAGCATCTTTAGGGCATCAGCCACGATGCCCACATACTCCCAGGGTGACAGCAGCTTGGGTGTGGCAGGTGCCCGCAGAGGGGGGAAGCCCAGGGGGACCTCCTCACGGGCACTGGTGAAGGCAGGGTGCCGGGCCAGACCATCCTGTGGTGCCGCATCATCGTAGAAGCCCAGTACCAGAGTGTTGGGACGCATCCCACCTGCCAGAGAGACCATACCAACCTGGCTGAGCAGAGCTGGAGGACCCCACCAGCCCTCCTGGCACTGCAGATGCTAAGAAGCTCCAGCTTGGCTTTGTCACTGCTCACACTGATGATTCCAGACCACTCAGCATCACACACCCAGATGCCTCGAAGACCCGCCTTGGCTTTGGCATTGCCCACCCAACACCTCTCCAAGCTCCAGCTTGGCTTTGGTGCTGCCCACACCAGGAGCTTCCAAGCCCCTTGGCAGTGCCCATCCAGCTGGCTTCAAGCCCCTCAACATTGCTGACACAGATGCCTCCAAGACCAAATTTGGCTTCAGCATTGCTCACCCCAGATGCCTCCAAGCCCCAGTTTGGCTTTGGCATCGCTCATCCAGGTGCCACAAAACCACTTGGCTACTCTTACCCCCCAGGGACAGCAGGGTAGACCCTCACACATGCCCAGCTGGGTTCCACTCACCAAGGCCAGAGGTGAAAAGGAGCTGCCGGACCCCGAGTCGCACTGAGGGTGCAAGGGTGAGGCTGACAAAAGCCTTGACGTTCAGCTTGTCCACCAAGCTCAGCCACGAGTCCTGCTGGGGCTGCAGCGGGTCCGAGGGCAGCATGTCTGGTTGGGGAGTGAGAACAGCATCAGGGGGTTGGGTACCCCATACGGGGGGCTCACCCTGGTATCCCCATGGCAACCTTCACTGCAAAACCAGTGCCAACCCCTGTACCCACCCCATCACCCACAAGACAAGGAGGTGGAAGCAAGTGCTTCCAACCTGAGATACAAGATTACACATAAATATATAAAAAAAATACCCAGGCAGCCCCATCCCCCCTCCCCAATTTCAGGCCATTAGTCACCATGGCAACGGTGGGAGGGGTGGGGAGCAGAGCCCGTGCATCCGCTGGGGCGGGGACAGGGCCAGTGACAGTCACTGCATGTGCCAGGGAGCACGCGTGTGCAAACTAACATGCACCAGGGCGCAGAAACACCTGAGGTCCTTGGATGCACAGCAGCAGGCAAGACCTGAGGATGGACACAGGCACACAAAGGTGCAAGGCTGTGCCAAGTGTGTTGACCTGTGCAATGGGACTGTGCTACACAGGGGCCCACAGAAGCCCAGGTGGCACGTGTGGCACCTGCAGGAGCTCTGTGTGCACAGGTAGGGATGAATACTTGAGCACACACGTGTGCAAGCACGTGTGGACAGGAGGTGTGGGACAGACACAAGCCACATACGTTCCGCATACCAAGCCAAGCCACACATGGGCCCAAAATGTTGACCACCTCTGTCCCACTCTACTCAGCTGGGACTGGACCCCAAGGACTCTGGGAGCCCACCAGCACCACAGCAGAGGCCACCAGCACTGGAGACGGTGCAAATCCTCACCCAAGTCCTGCAGCTCAACGTGGCCCAGGACATAGAGGCCACTCTTCTTGAGGTCGTTGACAAAATCAATGAGACGGGCACTGCCTCGTGGGTTCTGCACCATCAGCAGCATCTGTGGGCGCCAGAACTTGACGTGGTCCTTCCTCACATCCAGCATCAGCAGGTACTTCCGCACCTGAAGGAAAGGAGGGCAGCAGGTGAGGAATCCGCCTTTCAACAAACCACCCCATGCACATGCCAACCCTAAGGACACAATGCCCAAGACAGAGCTGCCATGGGGACACCAGATTTCCATCACATGAAGGGAGAGTGGAGGAAAACAGGGCTCACCTGGTGAAAGATGAGGGCCTGGCTGATGTAGCCCCAGGTGCTGCTGGGTGAGAGGTAGTGGAGGGCAAGAAGGAGGAGAAGGAGGAAGCCCAGGCTTGCTGAGGCTGACACAGGGCTGATGAGGAACATCATGACGCAGCAGCCTGCGATGCCCAGCAGGCACGTGTGCCAGGTGAAGTACCGGAAGGTGGGCCTGGAGCCGGGAGAATCACAGAATCTTATGGGTTGGAAGGGACCTCAAAAGATCATCTAGTCCAACCCCCCCTGCCAGAGCAGGATCACCCAGAGCACATCACACAGGAACGTGTCCAGTTGGGTTTTGAAAGCCTCCAGTGAAGGAGACTCCACAACCTCTCTGGGCAGCCTGTTCCAGTGCTCTGTCACTCTCACAGTAAATTAGTTTTTTTCTGATGTTTACATGGCTCCCTCCTCCAGACACTTGCCCTTAACATATTTGTAAACATTGATGAGGTTGCCCCTCAGTCTCCTCTTCTCCAAGCTAAAGAGGCCCAGCTCCCTCAGCCTTTCCTCATAAGGGAGATGTTCCACTCCCTTAATCACCTTCATGGCTCTGCACTGGACTCTTTCAAGCAGTTCCCTGTCCCTCTTGAACTGAGGGGCCCAGAACTGGACACAATATTCCAGATGTGGCCTCACCAAGGCAGAATAGAGGGGGAGGAGAACCTCCCTTGACCTACTAACCACACCCTTCCTAATGCACCCCAGGATGCCATTGGCCTTCTTGGCTACAAGGGCACATTGCTGGCTCATGGGCATCCTCCTGTCCACCAGGACCCCCAGGTCCCTTTCACCTACACTGCTCTCCAGCAGGTCAGCCCCCAACCTGTACTGGTACATGGGGTTGTTCTTCCCCAGGTGCAAGACTCTACACTTGCCCTTGTTGAATTTCATCAGGTTTCTCCCTGCCCAACTCTCCAGCCTGTCCAGGTCTTGCTGAATGGCAGCACAGCCTTCTGGTGTGTCAGCCACCCCTCCCAGTTTAGTGTCATCAGCAAACTTGCTGGGGGGACATTCTGTTCCCTGCAACGTATTTGAAGAAGCCCTGTCTATTGTCTTTGACATCACTAACAAGGTTTAGTTCCAAGGAGGCCTTAGCTTTCCTTATTGCCTCCCTACGTCCTCTGACAACAGTGCTATATTCCTCCCAAGTGATCAGCCCCTCCTTCCATGATCCATAGATCCTCTTTTTCCACTTGAGTTTGCCCAGCAGTTCCCTGCTTAACCATGTGGGTCTCCTCCTGGCTCCCTTATTTGATTTCCTACCCATTGGGATGCTCTGATCCTGAGCTTGGAAGAAGTGGTCCTTGAATGTTGACCAACTATCTTGAGCCCCTTTACCATCTAGTACCCTGTCCCATGGGGCTTCTCTTAACACTTGATTGAAGAGGCCAAAGTTGGCCCTGCGGAAGTCCAGGGTTCTGGTCCTGCTAGGTGTTCTGTTCCTCCCACACAGGATCCTGAACTCCACCATCTCGTGATCACTGCAGCCAAGGCAGCCATTGACCATCACTGCTTCAACCAGACCTTCCTTGTTGGTGAGCACAAGATCCAGCAGTGCTCCTCTCCTAGATGGTTTGTCCAACATTTGTATGAAGAAGTTACCATCAATGCTTGGAGGAACCTCCTAGACTGTGAATGGCTGAGTAGGCCTTGCAGCAAATATCTGGGTAGTTAAAATCCCCAGTGAGGACCAAGGCCTGTAGTTGTGAGGCTGCTTTCAGCTGCCTGTAGAAAGCCTCATCAACTCCCTCATCCTGATCAGGAGGTCTGTGATAGACCCCCGTAACTGTATCACCCATGCCAGCCTGCCCCTTAATTCATACCCACAGACTTTCCACTTGCTCCTCATCAGCCCCTGGACAAAGCTCAAGACCTTCTAGTTGCTGTCTCACATAAAGAGCAACACCACTGCCTCACTTTGCTGACCTGTCTTTCCTAAAAAGGACACAGCCATCCATGACCACATTTCAGTCATGTGAGCTGTCCCACCATGTCTCTGGAATTGCCACCAGATCATAACCCTTATACTGCAGACCTCTAACTCCTGTTTACTCCCCATGCTGCCTGCATTGGTGTGCTGGCATTTCAGGGAGCGAGCTGAGCACGCTGGTGGCACTCTTGGGAGGCAGAAGGCCTTCTGGTCTTCATTAATAGTAGAAAAATGCCCCTCTAGTTCAAATCCAGCTACAACCCCCTCCCTCTTCTAGTTTAAAGCTCTGTGAATGAGCCCTGCTAACTCCTGCCCTAGGACACTTTGTCCGCTGCAGGTCAGGGTCTTCCCATCCAATGCCAGCACGCCCGGTGTCCTGGAAACCAAACCATCCGGGAGTTTTGTCCCCTACCTTCTTCAAGTCTAGTCTAAAGCTCTCTCAATGAGCCCTGCTAACTCCTGGCCAAGAATCCTTTTCCCCCTTGTTAAAGGGGACAACCACTCAGCTGCAGGGCAGGCATGGCCAGGGGGGATTTGCCAAGGTGCTGACCAGAAAACCCCAGGAAACCCTGCAGTGTCAGCTCAGAGATGTCGGGCACCACAGATGCCTGTAGGAGAGGGCACTGAGGGATGGTGGTATCTCCCAGGGCACCGGGCAGCCCCTTGATGCCAGCCCCAAGCAGGTGGGGGCAACCTGAGGTGGGGGTGACAGTTACAGGGCTGGGGCTGCCCTGGCACACCCCAGGGGACAGGGTAGTGTCAGGCAGAACATGGCAGTGCCCTTTGTGTTTGCTCAGGCTGGTGCAGGGAGGCGGAGGCGGGGAGGCGAGAAGCTGTTATTTTCTCTAATTGTTGTTTTTCCTGAAAGGTAATTAAAATCCTTTTCCACTGCACTTCATGGAGACCTCAATGCAGGGAGGGGCAGGCACCAGATGTGGGGTGAGTGAGAGAACTGTCACCATCCACCCCAGCAGCTTAACCCCGAGCACCCAGCCTGCCTCATCTATGCCCAGCCAAGGGAGAAGCTGGGGGAGGCCAAGCCTGCCTGGCAGACACCAGCTCTCCCTTGGAAACGGGGCACTCTGGGGCACCCTTGGGTAATGCCACCCAGTCCTGCTGGGGCACCACCTCTCTTCCACCTGAGGGACTTTCCCTGCTTTGGAGGCATAACACTTTGCACCAAGGGCAGCAGGCATCGCCCAAGAGGGAGACCAAGCTGTCCCCAGCCACCCTACTGTGCCCCCCTTGCCCCAGATTTGGGCAGCCCTGCCAGGCCAGCCCCATACCAGGCTACCCCACATCCCCCTCCCCTGGTGCTGCCTGCCACACAGAGTCCTCCTTCCTGGAAGATTTTTTCTCCCTCTCCCACACAGGATCCCCCCCCTCTCTCCCCCTTCCCAGTTAGTTTAATTAGCTCTAATGGAAAGTGGGCTCCATCATGGCTTGGCAAGCTGCCCGGGGGATGCCGGGCAGGCACAGGCTATAAATTACCTCTGGAAAGCCTAAGGGGAGGGGGCAGGTGGTACCTGGTGGTGCTGGATTTATCTGTACGTGCTAAGCAAAGCAGTGCCAGGGTGTGGGGATTGTGCCAAGCCAGTGCTACGTTGGGTCCTGTCCCCTTCTCCCTTCCCAGGGACGGGTGTGTCTCTGCCCCCCCAGTAACCCAGGAGAGAGGCGCTCAGCGTCTCTGCCCCACAGGGGGACAGTAGGTGCAGGGATGGCAGGGGAGCCACAGATGGATGGGTGGGTGCCAGCCCAAAACCTCGGCACAGCCTCCCTCCCCTATGCCAGCAGGTACCTGAAGTTGGGGGCTGATGCCCACTCCAGTGCCAGGCAGGCCAGGTTGACAGTGGCGTAAACCAGGAGGAAGAAGGTGGTCACAACCCCTGCGATGGTGTTGAGTTTCCCAGAGAAGAGCACAAGCTGCAGAGAGCACAGGGAGGCACCAGGTGAATGTACCCCCTGGGATGGCACCCCCTGAACAGGCCTGAGCCATTCCTGCTGAGCCTGGGACATGCCAAGACAGTGAGATGGGGAAAGGGAACTGCCAGTGCCACAGAGGCAGAAATCCCTGCCCCTTGCTGTGATTTATCCTTCCTTTATAGGCTTGGGAAAGGGGGTGGCACAGCCACAGCAGGATACTTGGAGCAAGAGCCCTGGGGGGAGATGCCCAGGACTGGGGAGATGTGCCAGGCTCCACAATGCCCAGCCCAGGTGCTAACCCACCTTCACCCAGCAAAGTCAGGAAAGGAGCATTGCCAGCAAACTCACCTGCACCACCAGCCAGGAGAGGATCACCGCCATCACAGGGTTCCCACTGGTAGATGTCTTCTTGGCCAGCGCCAGTGCCCGGCCTGTGAACAGAGCAGGGAGGTTGGGCTGGGGCACCAGCAGGCTTGGACACCAGCCAGAAGTCCTGTCCCCACCCTAGGTGCTGGGACAGGAGCAAACACGTGACCCAGATGGGCATGCACCAACCCACAAAGCATCATCCACACACCAGGAAGGGGGCTCCCTGGTGCCAGGGCTGCTCCTCCCAGGTGGGCTCTCTCAGGTGTCAGCACACTCCAGGTACTCACCAAAGAGATCATCCCGGGCCAGGGCGTAGAGGATGCGGGATGCCCCGATGAGGTTGCTCATGGCTGCAGAGAGAGTGGCAGCATAGATGCCCACAGTCACCAGGGGTGGGAAGATACTGATGTCACGCAAAAAGCCGTAGTCTTTCTGCAAGAGGGTCCTGGAGAGGGACATGGACACACTGGCATCTTCCTCAGCTCTGGGCACCATACCCTGGCACTGAGCACACCTCAGCACTGAAGACCCTGAGGAGGGGACAGGTGGCTTTACCTGCTGCAGGTGGCACACATGAGAAAAGCCAGTAGGTTGTAGATGAGGTAGGTGAAGAGCACGGCAGAGATGGTTCCCCGTGGGATGGAGTAGCTGGGGCGCTTCAGGTCCCCTGCAGGCAGGAGTGGGCAGCATTAGTGACTGTAGGCACGGCACCCACCTGCTCTCCTACAGCCTTGCTGGTGCTACCCAGCCTGGCACCTCCCGCCCATACCTGACATGTTGGAGCCTGCCATGATGCCAGTGCAGCCGTTGAACATCACTGCAAAGACGGAGCTGAAGCTCATCATCTGCCCAGTGGTGTAGTCCACCCCGTACCCACCTGCAGGAGACAGGAGCACAGGCTGTCAGGGGCAGCACAGCCCCACCATATACCCTCTCCTCAATGTCCCCATGCATAAACCACAGGAGAAGCCACCCCAAGGCATCTGTTTTGTGCCCACAAGCTCCTCCCACCCTCCAGTGAGGCCCCACTGATGTGGAAGTGCCAGTCTCACCCCTCCCCGAGGCACAGATGCCACAGAGGGTGGGGTGGGCAGGGTGGGGAGAGCAGCTCCTCACCACCCAGGTTGTCTCGCAGGGTGGCGAGTGAGAAGCCAGTGAAGTTGCCGTTCTCAATCTCGGAGCCGTTGGAGCGGGGCAGGCGGATGGGCACCCCAGTGGGCTGCGTGGCAAAGAAGCTAACGAGGATGGTGCCCAGGACACCCGCGACGATGAGAAAGATGAGGAAGGTGGCCTTGGCGTAGATGGAGGCGCCCACGAGGCACACAAGGAGGCAGAGGGCCAGCAGCACGGTGCCGTAGAGCAGCTCATACCAGTAGCTCTGAGGCAGGACGTGGACACCTGAGCCTGCTTTTTGCCCTGGGCAAGAGACAAGCCAGTATCAGCGGGACTCAGAGCAGACATCACCAGGAGCTGAGAGCCACCAGCATTGTGACAGGCATGGTGGGCACCAACTCACTGGCCAGAGGGCTGGGCAGACTATGCTGACTATGCCAGGCATAGTGCTTGGCACACCTGGGAGGGTTCTAGGCCTACTCAGATAAGGGACATAACCTGTTCCCTTCCACCACAGGGGTACTCACCAGGGGGGATTCCAAAGCTGTCTACCACTGCCTCCACCAATCCCAGCACATACAGGGCACTGCCACAAACGTTGGCCAGAAAAAACATGATTCCAATGCTGCCCCCAAACTCCGGGCCCAGGGCACGGCTGATCATATCTTGCTCAAGTCAAGGGAACATGCCAGAAGCCCAAATCATCATCAGGGGCCCCCAACCCTCCCTCCAAGGGAAGGGGCTTCCAGCCCCAGCGTGGCACCCTGAGGCTTCCGAGTGGTCAACCAGATTTTGCACCATGTCCCCTGCCCTGGTAGCACCCACAACCAAGGATACAGTAGGCTCCTCCAGCATCCAGCGCCCCGTTGGTGGCGATGGCGCAGACAGACAGCACCGTCATGCCGATGATGAAGTATGCGACCGCAAACATGGCCAGGGCTTGGTATAACCCAGCATGGCCCACCACGAACCCTGCCAAGGACGGGGGAGAAGCCGGCATGTCTGTGAGCTGGGCACAGACCACCCCCAGACAGGGTCCCCAGGCACAGCCAGCTCCTCAGATCTTGTCCCCACCAAAGTATATGGGCTGCTTCAGTCCATACCACCTCCTTCCCAGCCAGGATAGGGATACCCCCACCCTGGGATGCTGCAGCCAGCTCAGCCAGTGCCCCCTCCTCCCCAACCCTCCACCTTGGGGCATCCCCATCCTCCTGCCATGCCAGGATCATGCTCAGGCACACCCTGGGCACGGGTAACTCGGAAGGGAACACCCAAAAAGCAAACAAACAGGGCAGGGGCCCTGCTGCCCACCCAGCCCCAGGGCAGTACAGGGGTGTGCTGGGATCCCATGCCCTGCTGTCACCCTCAGCAGGCAGCGAGTGCCTTGCGCTCCAGCTCAGGCACCAGGCACCAATGGGCTTCCCATGGGGTTCAGTCAGCCACTCCACTTCCCCACTGCAAAGCAGGAAGCAAAAGCAACTCTGGGGTATCCCCACCAGGCGGGGCACTGCTTCCTAGTGTGAGTCTTCCCCCCCAAGGGACAGGACACCCAGAGTCCCCCCAACCCCCCCGTAAACCTGCCTGGGGTGACAGGAGGCGAATGGGGCGGGCAGTGCCGCGGGCAGGAAGGGGCTGGCTGTGGCTGCAGGGAGATG